CAGAAATATTCTAGTAGCATTTTAAAATCACAGCGCATGGCTGTAAATACAGATCATAAACATGCTAATGGCAGAATCTCTTTTGTCAAGTCAGGGAATTTGTTTTGTATAGATCTTGAAATGTATACTTACTTATTCATGCTTTGGCACAGTAGAGTGTGAGAATTTTGAAACGGAGAAAGGAAAGTTAATTATCAGAGAAACTGAGGAATCCTTCAAATACAGGCCAGTAAATAATTTGGTTAAATATGCTTGCCCAAGCAAGGTGTGTAAAGAGAACAGATAAAATATCAATTTATTTAATTTTGGAACAAGAAAGATTTACTGGGGAGTCAGGAAGGCTATAAGATTGTGACTAGAGGCTCCTGCAGCAGTGACAATAAAGGTTACTGTCTCTTGGGACATAATGCCATGTAGTCTGGTAGATATTTAATAACATTTTGCACAGAACCGCTTGCCTCCATCTTTTCATTCACACTGAAAATGAAGATTCCCCCCAAACACTCACAAATATCAGACTACATGTGCCGCATCATAGCTCAAGCGGTTAGTTGCTGGCCTCCTACGGTGGCAGCCCGGGTTCAATCCCGGGTCTGATCAAGTGGGATTTGTGGTGGACTAAGTGGTGCTGGGGCAGGTTTTCTCCCAGTACTTTGGTTTCCCCTGCCAATCTTCATTCCACCAATTGCCCCACAATCGCCATCATCTACCATCTGGAGCTGGTACAATAGGCCAGAAGTGGCCACAGTACAAGGGACTTAGTCCCACCCCGCTAGCAATAAAAAAAAACAGACTACATGGCATCACATATCCGAATAGTAGGATCCACAAGCACAAGACTGCTTTCTCTCTTAGATATCTTTAAAGCTTATGCTGCAGTTACAGCCTTAAACAAGGAATGAGGCAATTCTAAAGGGTTCTGATGATTGTGCATTATACCTAGTATCAGGGCTTCCTCAGCTTTGCTCATTGTCCGCTACTCATGTAACCAGAACACAATGTTGGTTGAGTGACTGGGGTTAGTTCTTTCTAATGGACCCTTCACCTGAGGATTGGAGCAAATCCATTTCCCAAAATGTTGTGCACTGGATTTAGAATATCAGATAACGGACATTTTCCAAGAAACTAGAACACGAAGCAATAAGGTGCTACTTCCTATGCATCTGCTCCTGTCAACACAGCATGCCACTAACCTATATGACACATAATGTCACTAATAACTTACAAGGTGTACAAAACACATCACATCACTCTCTTATAGCACGTGGAAGACACAGCACATCACTGACCTACAGTGAACCCAAGACACATCATGTCACTAACCTACATGAATCCAAGACACATCGCATCAGCAACATATGGTGTGTCCAAGACACATCATGTGAGTAACCTATGGTGAGTTCATGACACATTATGTGATGAACCTACAGTGCGTCCAAGACTACGTACTTTGACACCAAGAGCTATACAGGAGAAACCAAGGGCAGTATTGACAATCGATCGCAGAGAAGGCATGATGAGGATGGGGACACCCTGCATGGCACACATGGTGGGGATGTGGCTTACAAGTATTTTGGGGTCCGCATCTTGTGCAAGCAATACAAAGCCAACTGATGCAGACTCCAGACCACGTGTCACAGAATTCACACCCAGGAACATACACCGTCTGAAACAAAAATGTTTGATAAGAAAATAAATATCCAACTAATTCAGAACAATAGCAATGTACCACTTCTGCAAATGAACAACTTCTCATCAGATTAGGTTCAACCTAGTTACAAGAAAACTGGTTAGTTGGTCAAAGTCATTACTGGCCCAGACATGAGGATATGATAAGCACATTTGTGACACAATTAAATCTACTGGTGTCAGTGAACTCAAATGAACATTAAACAATATTTTTAAGAGACTTTAACTTTGTTTAAGAGCAGAAGGGAGACACCGTGAACGTCAACTGTGATGTGATGATGAGTTCTTCTAAATAATTTACTTACTTCAAGAGGTGAATGTTCATGTTCAAAATGCATGGCACATTAGCTGAGAACCTAGACCCCCCCCGTTCTCTCAGGTGATCGATAACTTTCTGTCTAAGAGGCCGAGAGTAAGAGAGTCGGGCAATTCAGCCTGTGGAGGAGGACTCAGTGGTCTTTATAAAAATTGTCTCAAATTGTAATATCAATGTGTGACACTTTACTCTCTTCAGTAAGAGAAAGAGAATGAATGTAACAGTCATCTCTCAAGCTACAGACGGAGTGTAATGTTGCAAAGTGTCTGGAGCCACAAATTATTTTCCTTGATTTTCATTAAAAGAATACCAGATAAAATGTTTCAAACGAATTATGCAAATCATAATGAGCCTTAAATTTTATGCCCAGAAAGAATTTCTTTGTAAGATGAGCCATTTCTGAGAAGATTAATGTTCAATTTGAGATTCATGTGGCATATGGGCTAGAATGTGTTTGAGACAATCCAAAATTAAATTAGTTCAACTCATGTCAGTAAAAGTTGTCACCGAGCTTAATTAAGGACCATGCCAGAGAGGTGTATGGGGGAACGAAGGTACAGCTTCCCACATTCTGAAATGTGGCACTAGATGGAGGTGAGTGGTCAGCTTTGGGTCCCTAACACTTTATCCCCCCAAAAAAGTCCCCAGCATGCATTGGATAGGATGCTGGTTGGGCCCAAGTCATTATAAATCCCAAAATGACATTTCATCAAAATCCACATTGCTATCAGAGATGACATTATCTCACAATCATGGGTTCACTGTATACCAACTGTGTAGAGAATACAGAAACATACTCAGCCCATGCATCACACTCAGTGCATTAGAAGTGTCACCTCAGTTCCTCACTGCGGTCAGACGAGAAGTCAGCATTGGATTCCTGCTGCAACTTCTGCCTCACCTCCCGACGCTGCTTAAGTGGCACCTTCCTCAACTCAGACCAGTTCACTTTACTGACAGGTCTCCTGACTGGATGTAAGACGCTGAAACACAACTGTCCAACTTTACAGTGTTCCTTTGCTGGGAGTGGTCTAGTTTACAGATGGATACATGACATACAAAGGCACTAGAAGCAGGGTGTATGGATATGGTATGAGAAAGAAGCTTAGCTTCAGCTTTGGACAACACACTAGATACTTCAGGCAGAAGTGTATGCATTAAGGAACAGGCAGCAGAGAATATAGACAAAGGCTATGAAAACAGAAATATCTATATTCTGACAGCCAAGCTGCAATTAAAGCACTGAGCAATTACCAGATCAGTTATAAACTGGTCTGGGACTTCCATCAATCCCCTATGAAAGCGGCTGAACATAATATAGTTCAAGTGACAAGCATGCCAGGACACACAAGAATTGAGGGCAATGAAATTAAGGACTCACTGGCATGATTGGGACCTGACCCAGTATGCAGCATGTCAGTAATGTTTGCCAAGAAGACTGCAACAAACACTAAAAAGATCAAGGATCTTCTGCAAAAAGGGCTAGGTTACGGAGCTATCAGAATTAAATAGGAACCAGCTGAGACCTGTGCAAGGACACTATCACCTGGAAGGAAACCTTCTTACACTGGCACTAGTCAATAACTACACATGTGAAAGATGCCAGTGCAAAGATGAAACAGAATCACATATCATGTGTGACTGCAAGGCCTTGGCTAACTCAAAACTCTGTCATCTGGGCCATAACTTCATGGAATGAGATAACTACTTAGACACCCCATTCATTTGAAGTATGGGATTGTTATGAGACAGGAACTGAAATATTATAATTATTCAGATGCATTACCGACTTCAAACAATTAATTAATAATATCATATCGCATTGTCTACTTATGTACCTTTCCAACTTTTATATATTTTCAATGCCAGGGCTTTCAGACATAACCTCAAAGCTTGAGGTTGTTGCCACATTTGTAATTTTCAACATATAAATTTTTCAGTCATAGAACATTCGACATTTATTTACAATGTTTCAGATTACAGAAGAGCTATGACCCAGGTCCCAAAAACGACTAGTTGTAAACAAATTTTCAAATCATTACATATATTACCTCTACCATCTTTGTACATATACGAAACTCTAATATACATAAAATCCAATTCGAATGAATTCATAACCAACTCAGGATTATNAAAGGGGAAGCAAGAGGAGGCTAGAGAACACTGCATAATGAGGAGCTTCATTATTTTACTCTTCGCTAAATGTTATTTGGGTGATCAAAGAGAATGAGATGGGTGGGGCATATAGCGCATGTATAGGACACTAGAAATGCAAACTAGATTTCAGATGAAAAGCCATATGAGATCTAGGCATAGGTGCTATCACCAAATTCACGAATATTATCTTAAAGGCCACGCCATAGCCTAAGTGGTTAGTCGCTGGTTTCCCACCGCTGCAGTCTTAGTCAAGTGGGATTTGTGATGGACAAAATGGCGCTGGGGCAGGTTTTCCCCAAGTACTTCGGTTTCCCCTGCCAATCCTCATTTCATCAAATTCTCCATAAACATTATCACCAGTACAGGCGCAATAGGACATATGGAAGCCGACATGCCGAGGGGACCTAATATGGATTCCACCTCACACTATGTGAAATCTTAACTATTGTAAACAATTTTAAGTATTGTAACTTTATTCTCTTATTGTAATCAGATAATGTACAGTAACTGACTTGTCCTATATCATGTAACAATGATCTATAGAGATTAAATAAATACATACATACTGTAACTGTCCAGTTTATGTGATGGTCAATTGATGTTTTGTGTATGGTTAGGGTTTTGTGAAATTCCTCACTTTTGCCTCACAATTTGAAATTTTCCCCCTGAGACACGCAGCAAGTGGCTTGGGTCAAGCTTGAAGCCAGCTGCCCATCCGTAAATCAGTTAATTTAATGCATAACACAAGGCCGAGTCCTTTAGAAATTCTAAACATGACAGGGGAAGTCATAATTTTAGCAGCGTCGTTTCCTGCTACACCAAAATCTCAGTTTGATAGCCACGCAGCAGGTGGCAAAGTTTACCCCTAAACTGTACACTAGTGGATATTCGCTTTCCTAATTGGAGGAGAAAGATAAGCAACCTCCCAGTCTGCCCGGTCCAGCCAATCATCATCCGAAGTGGGAGGTCCTTTGTCCGAATTTTGGGTAACCAGGGCAAATATTTACCATTCAGAGGGTGCTTGGCAAGGAGGACTCTGAAATTTACCTTCACCGGGGGTACACGTGTTCTGATCTCCGTAAACACCCCCTGTGGTGACTATTAAATGTGCGTCTCAAAAAACAGTAAGGAAGCCTACATCCACAACTCTGTGAAGTGTCACTATGGTGCTGTTTCCATTTAAATAGTGCAGATTGAATAAAGACTTCAAACAGTTAATTGGTGTTGGGGTGACTTCCCTACGCCTAAAGCCCCACTAATCACCCAAGTCGTGGCCAGTCAACACGCCCTGAGAGGAGTTCGATTTCTCTACTAGAGCTAGCAGAACCAAAGAACGGTTACAATACATACATAGTTTCATGTATTCAGCATCTAAAAATTACAGCAAATACGATTCTCATTATGGCTAATAAAAAAAAATCTTCTATAGTATGGTATGCAGGTACTAACCATTTCTACCCCTGATGATGGAGGCAGCAGTTTCTTCCAAAGACTATACAGTGTCACATCCTATAAGATCATGATCTCAGTTTCTAACAAATGGTAAGATTACTGAGCAATACAACATGTGTGGCAGGAAACCAACCTCTTACCTTAACAGCAGCTGGTTCAACTCCACTTCAGCATCTTCTGCCAGCACCGGCCTTGAAGCAAACAATAATAATGTGCCCTGAGTACAGAAGCTGAATGCATTTGTTTAAAGTTTACTTAAGAATATTGTTTTCAATATCTCAGATTATATGTTGTCAAAGAGCAGGATGATCAGTGACTAATGAACCAAAAAGAATGTGGAATTAAGCAATCATGGCCTAACTTGACATCTGCCTGAAGGGTCCATGGAAAACCATGAAAATTCAGTCAGGATAGGCAGTCTCTAGGGCAAACCCAACATGTCTGAAGCAGAAAATAGAATATACCTTTACAATTTTTCAATTAACACCATAACAACATGGTAATCTACATAAATAAAAAATCTAGAATATTCACTTGATAATATACATATATATATATACAGGATGTCCCAGGAGGAATGTGCCAAACTTCGGGAGGGTGTTCCTTATGTTAAAGTATGCCGATATAACCCAAAACACCTATGTCCAAAGTTGAACGGTTACGGAGATAATGGCCAGAGAAGTGTCAAACTTTGACCGGGGTTACACACTTGTTGATTACAAAATAGATATTAAAACTGGCAGGAATATGTGGATTCTGTAA